TAATAAGGAAACAGACAAAGGCCACTGAATAGTGAAAGTATCAGTGTTTCTTTAACTCCCAAAGAGAACAGGTATCCTAACCAGATACATGAAGACTCTGGGCCACTTTCCTACTCCAACAGCAGGAAACACAGCAGAGCCTTTCTTCTGACTGTTCAGCAAGAAATTGTTTGATCTTAATCTGATTTGCCAAGCTAGTTTTCCTAATGGTAAGGAGAATTGACCAGAAACAACTCAGGTATTCCAGTTTGGCATTTGTATTTCTCAAAGTAAATTATTAATGATAAGACAGCATTCTGCATTGTATGTCAGTGTCTCATGAATTTAGTCGCTATGAACTCATCATTCCTGATAAACTATTAATAATATATTCAAGTTTCACAAACTTCAAAGCTGAGGAACAATGATTTCATCAGGCAATAGCTATCTGATAAAAGCCTTCCCAAAATATCCAGCCAATCTTGTCTTTATATAACATATTACATTCTACTTTTAGAAGTAAACGAAACAAATAAGAATTTCCCAGATGTGAATATTATATAGCAGATCGATGATGCCTAATTAAAGTGGTAACCTTATCTACAAGGCATGCTGCTAAAACAACTTTCCCATGTGTCACCTCACATAATAGAATATGGACTTCCAGGTTTAAAGAGACTAGTATACTACCCAGTGGCTTCTACAGGAGATGATCCACAAGCAGTCAAGCCTCTCCCAACTTTCAAGTCACTTAAAAGAAAGCCTAATATGACACTTTCAAAAAATTAAAAATACTGTTCCGACAAATCAAATCTAGTCTATAAATAAGCCTAAACAGCAAAGGCTTGTCTTCCATATTTTAAGCTCAAAAGAATCACGGGCAATACTTGATTATCTTACAGGAAAAAGAAAAATATCACCATGTTTTAGGCTGTACTCATTCTGAATGCAAAAGTTTAATTACATACCTCTGTTAACAAATCAGCCAGTTCAGCATGAACCTTAGTTTGTAGAGATGTTCGAGCCACATCTAAGAGCATTTTTCTATTCATCTCCTTTTTTACTTTAACTTTCTCCAAAACTTCAAGTGCTTTTATCTTTGCAGCTTCAAATCCTTCAGCTATTATTCTAGGGTGCAGACCCTGTTACATCGACA